CTGTACAGGCTAGGGAATAGTCTGGCTGTGAGACTCTATAAAGCTAGGTTTAAAATTAAATGTATCATTCATTACATCAGTTCTGGAGAATATAACGTAAGACCAATCCCAGTTAGATCTAATACTGCGTTTCAATGCAACTGACACAATGGATTGAGTTACATACATGTACATGTAAACATAGCTTAAATCGATTGTACTGGATCAACTGGAATATTTCACAATAAGTTAAACCAAAAGTAAGACCAATAAGATGGTACCAGCCCCCCACAAAGAAGATAAGCCCAGTATTGTTCATTCCACACTCATTCTTAGCTCCATAAATATTGCAGGTCAATCAGGAGTTGACACGTCATAATACTAGAAAGAATATAAAACATTGAGGGGCTTCACCTCCTGATTGCACCTCCTAGTCACACCCAAACGTACGTACATACAGACAAAAATTCTTGTAAGTAAGAGCTTAGCCCAATCAAGTCATGAATAAATTCAATAATTACATATAACAATATAATAGTGAATTCGTCTCTCTCAGTAATATTCTTCACCAGACAAAGTATGGGAAATCCTTGTGCTACATGTACTTGTGTCTTCCAGGACTATTCCCTTATATTAGCACAGTAGTTGCTAGTCCTTTAAAAAATAAAAAGAATTTTCAGTTTAAAATTTTAACTGTTTCAAATAAAAGCTATAGTTGTAAAAAAGGCCCACACTCTACTATGGTCTGTGAGAAAATGAGTGGTAATGAGCATAAGTATACCAAATTAATTATTAAAAAATAATTATCATTGCATAGATTATGTGTGGAATGAGCGCATGCTACCAGACTGAGCATATTCCAGTTGATCCCCAGTGTACTAGCAGTTTACGACCAACAAGGGTCTTGTTCCATAACTAGAACCAGACCCTTAGACCCTCTCCTATTATCATTTGGGTGGATGGGAAGGGTATGGCCCAATGGCTTAACTACAACTGTTCTTCAGGACAAAATACAAGACACATTGCATCATAGTCCACTGTATCCTCAAGAGAAGATGGTCCATCCTTTACAAAACAGCATCTCAGTTTCTTAAAGTTTGTTGAAGTAATGACTTTTTTGGTATTATGCCCACAGAATATGGCAAAAAAGCATGTTTGTGACTTGATTGACAAAAATAATTTAAAAAGTCAATTTCTATTGTTGTCAGTCCTTACACAAATAGCACTAATCATAGATCAACTGGATTCACTGAGAAAGAGAAAGTAGTACATAGATCAGAAAGAGTACAAAAGATATGAAAAATGATATAAACTCCAGCCTAGTATTTATGAGTCGGTTGGGAACAGAAGAAATGCAATTACTAACAATGTATAGCAGAAACAATTAGTTGGGCAAACATAATATGCAAGCAGAAGCAGCAAATTTCTCATCATCCACCAGGTAAGCATAACACAGAGAATAGCTTGTCCATTACAGCTACATTTAGAGATCAGGAAAATAATAATTATGCTCACTGCTGACACATTGATGTTAATAATAGACTAGGATAATGCCATGAAAATGATGCTAGGCTTCTACACACTAAAGAACTCTCTCTCTGCCCTCAATGTCCTTCTCTATCAAATAATCCATCACGCTGATTGCAACAAAGAGGAGGTGTGGTCAACCTGTCACTGTGGTCCCTATGACGATGGTGATCTAATGCATCTACATGGTGTACATGTACTGGAAAAGTGTATATTGCTGGTTCTAATAAAACTTTGTCCCATTTAAAGCCACCATTCACGTTATTTAGCATCTGTTTGCCATTATTCAAAAGCGATTAATTTTTAAGGATCATTTCGTCCATTTATTTTACCCCAAAAGCACACAGTAATTATGGTAATTACAATCATTACTCCTAATAGTTGTCAGTGACCTAAAACAATTAACTTCTCTTCCACAAGCTACACAATTAGATGCCACATTAGGTCTGGACTGGCTACTAACAAAACGCGACTACCACATGACAAATCCACATCAAAAATCTGAATTCTAATTTACCCCTTTGTTCTTCGACTTAAAGACAACTATAGCTAAGCCATTTGAACTGGCCATCTACCAAAGTAGGGGGTCTGGGCAGTGAGACTACTGTATAATGGTATATTACATGCATTAATTACCACATCTACTAAATACTAAAATATTAATACACACATACCGTAAGTATTTCTTCTAATAGTGTGGCGGGCTTCTTCGTTAGACTATAGATATTTTAGACTACTTCTCATGCTCCTCTTCATCTATTTATAGTGGTTCATAGTGTCCACTCAGCCTTTCTTTTATTGTAATTACTCCAGTCCAGTAGGCGAAGGAGACTTCTAACAGCTCGTATACATCGGAAAATCCTACCAAAAAACAATGATTAAAAGTTTAAAAGATTATCCCCTAGACCCTTACTGTTGCTCTGGCCTCTTCTTTCACAACTAAAGACACCATAAAATGTCACGTGGCCAAAATTAGACCTATTACTGCGCATGCGCAAAACATGTATTAAGTTATTAACCATAGATATTATAGATTAGGCACTCCAATTAAATTAATAGTTTCCCGTTACCGACGCGGGGGTCACGCGCATTTTTCATTATTAGGTCCAATTTTTCATTATTATAATTATTTTTATCGAATTTTTAAAATTAAAAAACCATTTTCGAATTTTATTTTGAAGTTATCTGATGAAAATTAAACAAAAATGAGAAGGAAAAGGAAATACAATTATAGCTACAAAAAACACAGATCGCTCAGTACTATTATGCTGTAAGAAAAAGAACTATACTACAGAGCTACATCTACTATAGTGAACTAAATTTA